GCTAACAGCTGTGTGGTGTTTAGCTGCCTGCTGGGTTAAACCACAACAGGTTAAAAGACTTAGGATTAATCCTGACTTGCAGAAATAACTCAATACCAATAATTAATTGGAATAATTCAGCAATTTTCTGGAAGCATTAGTTTTTGATCCAGTAAACTATTATATGTGCTAGATGTTTCTGTCATTGCACTGCCCTCAGGTATAAACATTCTTTGTGAAATTAAGAAGAAACACATAACCTAAAAAAGTGTCAAGTTATGCAATAAGGCATGAATTTAAGCTGTTGAAATAAATGTGATTCTACATAAGGACTACTCTTCTGTTGGTAGAACAGGGCTTACTTTTAGTGTAGCTTATGTTGCTTTGGAAGCATTTTAAACTAAGCTCAAAAAGCTGCTGTCAATCCAGGAACAGTTGTTGGTACATGAGACTTTACAACAGATGTAACTACTGTGATTTAACCACAGCAATACTGGAGACAAAGTCTTGGGTGACATGACCATGCACGTTCCTCTGGGAGCCTTCTTCAAATTTCTGGGTTTTGTTTTGTTGGGTTTTTTTTCCTCTTTCAGACTGGAAAACCATCCTAGCGCATTGCTAAATATTTTTGTTTTGTAACATGTAAGGACATCATGACGAAATATATGCATTAAATTTTGTGATGACAACATCTGTCTGTAAGAACAGGTTAATAAAACCACAGCATTAACAAACAGTGCATGCAAACTGTACATAGAATCATAGAATCATAGAATCGTTTAGGTTGGAAAAGACCTTTAAGATCATCCAGTCCAACCATTAACCTACACTACCAAGTCCACACTAAACCAATCAAGGGTAGACTAGACTAAACCATGTCCCAAAGTGCCACATCTAGCCGTTTTTTGAACACTTCCAGGGATGGTGACTCCACCACCTCTCTGGGCAGCCTGTTCCAATGCTTGACCACCCTTTCCGTGAAGAAATTTTTCCTAATTTCCAGTCTAAACCTCCCCTGGCGCAGCTTGAGCCCATTTCCTCTCGTCCTATCATGTCACATCACTAAAATGTCTTATGGTAAAAATAAAATAAACTATAATGATTTCTTGTTTCAATGCTATGGTGCAAGATTTTCTGTCACAGTACACTCAATTTCAACTTTTAATTAAAAAGAAAAATTTGTCATAGCCATGTACACATCAGGTGTTGTACAAAACACTTCTTTCTGTACTTGTTTGTTATGCATTGTCAACTAAAGCAAAGACAGGACAGAAAAGAAATGGAAAAAAACCACCTTACCCTCATGAAATGAAGGAGAGTTACCCATGGCAAAGAGATGTAAATAGGAAAAGCTGGATGAAAGATGTGTGGAAAAGAAAGGAAAGGCATCACTGAAAACAGGGAAAAAGAAAACAAAAGAAGTGAGGAGAAATGGGGAATGGTTCCTCTTAAATAATACATTCTGAAGGCTAGTTTTCCAACGGTTTTTGTGAGGATGGTGGAAAGAAGCAAAGTCATGAACAACAGTGGTAATAGCTGCCATTATATCTACAATCAGCAGTGATGTTGCTGAACAGGACTTGCACTTGTCAGTACAGATTGCAAAATTGTAATCAGTGCTGTATTATCATCAAGAAATTTAAATGTCAAATCACAACTCTGCAGAACATGCTAGTGAAATCAAGCCATGCGCTAACATCTACATAAAAATAACGTTTTATATATGCAACTGACAGAACGTTATGCATAGTATTACACATCACCTCAGCCTTGCTCAAGCACTTGTGACTTTCCTGATTGGTAAAGTTGGGTGAGAGTGTTTTTAAAGGTGTTTTTCAAGGCGTTTTTCAAGGCGTGAGGCTTTCTGGTTAGACAACACTGTTTCACTGATGAAATATTACTTAGAAAATAAATAGAAAAATGCCTTTTCTGAAAAAAAGAAGCAATGTTTAACACATTGATCTGGCAGAATAGGGGACCTAGACAGAATACAAGTTTTGAACCTGCATTCCCCAATTCCCCCCTGCATACTGCTTCTCAATTGTTGATGGAATTACTGATTTTGTTGTTGATGATCACTGCTTTGGTTTTTGGGAGATGGCATATGGAAGGACCCTGTATCTTCTCCTCCCTCACTGTAAAGGTTTGGGTCTCATCATGATAAAGAAAAGGAACAAACTTAGAAATCCTTAAAAAGGTTTCACAGAATGGAAAACTGCTCTCCATCCAGCTTTAGTATGGTTTGCTTTTATAACCAAAACTGTCTCTCCAGTGCTTTTGTACATCTCTCTGCTTTGAATGAAAGAATGAGAGTTTTAGATTGGCTATAGGACGTAAACACTGACAGCCATTATCCAGCTTAACATCGCTAGTGCAAAAAAGCCAGGAAAGTGCTGTAGTATTCATTTTCGGTCCATGATTCACCATTAGTACTTAGCATGAAAGAGGGTGACGCGACTTGTAATTGACTGCTGCTTTTTCCTCTGTCCTCCCCGAGAGCTCTAAGTGCCTGGGAATGGTGTTGGGGCTAATGGAGGAATAAAGAGGGGCCCAGTAACCAGAACGGCCATACACCCGAGCTGCTGCAAAGGCCCTTTAACTTCCATTTTCTTCAAAGGCTACTGCTAAGCCCCACCTTGTCTGTCACACAGGTCCACTCTAATTTGTGGTGTGAATTTGGATTACTGAGAAGGAATCAAATGACTAGATTTAATCCGATCCATTCTGACTGGAAGGATGAACCTTGGAGAAGCTGAGGCTGTCCTTCCCACAGAGTACATGAGACTGGGACAACACCGGTAACACATACCACAGTTGAATGTTATCGACTCACACTGCCTGATCTGTCAGTGTTTTGGAATAAACTGGGACAACTCCATTCACTCATCCATCATTTTTACTAACAACTCATTTAGTCACAAGATTTCTCCAACCCATTGTTCTCTTTGTAAATAAATAAAAAGTCTAACATATTTATCATAAATCTTTCCAATTACACTGGCCCATAAACTGTCCTGAACTCCAAACCTCTCCTCATAGTAAAATACATTAATCCACTGTGAGTTGTTTTGGCTTATTAAGTTTTAATTTATTGCTCTACCCTCTCTTAAAAGGCTGGTTTTTAACAATATTGTACATGAGCCATCAAAAGCCTCCTGAAAATTCATCTCAGTTATGATCTTTGGGTCCACTTTCATTCCAAAATCATAATTTATTTCTTTCTTTTTTCTTTTAACAAGTGTCTAACAGGCTAGAATGACACGATTTGCCCTTGTAAATGCCATTCTGGTTTGACCCTATCAAGTTATACTTACTAAGTATTCACACTATTTTATCCTTGGGCTCAATAGGTTCCCCTTGTTAGTGGTAACAGGAGGTCATCAGCTAAACCCTTTGCAACATGTTGTGTATGTGGTTTGGTTTATGGACTCTTGTTGGCTCCTATTCTCCATTTAAAAAAACCACCACCTCCCCACCCTCCCACGCCCCGCCCAAGTTCTGGAAATGAACAAAAATTTTATAAATCAGATTTCCTACCTAGCCTTTTATAGGTTGTTCAAAAAAAACCCAGAAAAATACAAAACACTCTAAGATTTTATCCTGATAGTGATTCCAAGGAAACTCGTGCAAGGATTAAAAAAGATTACTTCCATCAGACCACTATATGCTATTTGCAGTCATAGCTTTCTCTTTCAAGTAAGCAAAAGCTTACATGCTTTGAAGCAAATTTGTAAACATGAGTAACAAACACTAAATGCATTTGCCTGCATTTCAATCCCATTCCTTTATATTAATCTCTACAAGAAAAATGTTCATGCAATTTATCACAAGCTTCTAACTTTCTATGTTTATCCCGAATGAAAATCTGGAAAAAACATACTACTTGCTTCTCCAGGAGAATGTTACTACCATAAACCATAGCAACAGCAGAAGGATAAAAAAAAGCAGACATATGGATGCTGAAAAGCTCATAAACCTATGTGAAATCAATTTAGCACTTTATTCCTGCATTGCAATTAAAATCCATCTATAACTTAAAGCTCTACTTTCAAGTCCGAAGAAAAGGCAGGTTCGGCTGTTGAAAGTATACTATTTTACAGAAATGTTTTACTAATAAGGCAGTCTGGGTAGAAACCACCACACCGAAATAACATTTAATGCGACCAGCGAAAGGTAGTAATGCTTACACATTGAGGGTACCCTAGTTCTGCCTTTAATAAAAACAGGTCTATTGCTGCACAGCTGCGACTGCGGAGGAGAGCGACGGCAGCAGCTGTCGCCAGCGTATTTCTAAGTAGAGGTAGAAGATGGCTGTCACAGCTTTTGCTTACAGCCCTGGGACAAGAGTCAAAGCACCTTGCTTTCCAAGTGCCACTTACTGCAGCACCCAGCCCAGCAAACATCTCCCCTGCACTGCCAACTTGAGAAGGAAGGAGGGTGAGAGAAGACAGAAAAATAACCTAAAAAAAATCACCTTTCCAGGTGATTTCCTGATTAAACTGTTCGTGCTGCAGGAACACAAATTATTATATTCAAGAGAAATTTAGACTGCTTTTAATTGGTTTTTGCAGTAAAATGCATTCGAATTGGCCTGAACTGGGTCTCTATTCCTTTGTATTGGAAAGTGTAAAGATTACTAACTGCACCAAAACCACAATCTTTTGCAGCATTAAAAATATGGAAGCACTAATATTACATCTGTTAAACTAATATGACTTCTCGTCGTTGGCCTTCTCACTTGTTTCAGACTTTTAAACAGAAATAACAAAAGCCCTCCTATTAAAAATAGCTTACTGTTCCATATTTCCTTTTAAAATTTTTCTTAAACAGAGAACCCCAACAAAACTCTTTTAAGTAAAGCAGAAATGATCCTTTAAACCTGCAGTTAAAATTTGATATAAATGCACTCACATTCGTTGCCAAATCCTCAATCTGCCTTTTGGATCATAACAAAGTCACTAACAAACAGAAATTTACATCATGAATTTCTTATGCAAACTGTAAAAAGCACTGTAACTTACCGATGTCATTGCTTCTTTCAGAGGAGTCTTTCTCTAGAGTGCCGGATACTGTACTGCCCACTAATTCCACTTTTGGACTATCACTCCTGCATTTGGATCAAGGAGAGGAGATATTTTATTGGAGTTTTTGTGTGGGTTACAGTAAATTGATAGCTAACTTGCAATTAATAATGAAAGAGCAAAATAGTCCTCCTTTGTAGCACCAGAGTAATAGCACTGTGTCAGAAAGAGCAATCTCCAGTAAGTAGACATGCTGTATGGATTAACCTTATCTCATTTCTCCTTAACACCTGTCAAAAAAGCCTATTTTAGACACCGTAGTGTCCTGAATAATTCTTCAGATGTTCACAGCATCTCAACATGAAGGAAACCTAAGGGCAAAAGGACATTCTTCAACATCTTATTTCTAATTTTTTCTAATTAATTGGCTTGCATAAACTATAGTGATGGACTATCTAGAATACTGCAGAAAGGGAGAGAACATCAAGCTAGCATTGTGCATTTCAGCGGTTCCTAGTATTTACTCATAAATGCAGCTCTTCCACCAAAAGAAGATCTTTCTTTATTTTTGCACATTGCTTATGAGATTAGACTATGAACATTGTTTCCACAGGTCCAAAGAACCAAGATTACCTACTCTGTCTGAAAATGTCTGTGGAATAGGCAAGTGTTAAGAGTTCTGATACCTCATACAGAGGAACTATTTTTAAATCAAACAGGAGATCAAACATAAGCAACATGATTATTCTTTCTTTGTAGAACTTTATATCCCACAACTACTTAAGTTTACTAAAATAATCTGACTATTGAAACAATAAATTAAAAAAGGGCCAGTGGTAGATGAGTAGCTCGGCATTGCACGGGTCACAGACAAATCCCTGTGACATTTACTGTGACAACAACTGTTCAATTAATGCAATAAATTGTACTTACCATCATTACCAGCTCACCTAACAAATATCATAGTTTTCCCACAATGACTATTCCCAGCATAGCGCTGTAACAATTATGATGTACGTAAGGTACCCAAATTATGAGTAAAAATATAGATCTGTCCCTGAAACAACCCAGGCAGATGTGCATTTCTATGAACAACGATAATTAGCCATTGCCAGGTAAATACATAGCAAGCTCCTGAATCTCATTGATTTTTTCATTTATCTCTGCTTTTGACGCCATGCTCTGATGACAGATGGCCTGAACCTCAACTCATGGCAGCAGTTTATGGGCAAAACACAAAATGGCTGGAAACCCTATTTCAGACTTCAGGAAGGCTGTGATAAAGAGCCTGAATATTTGTGTTAAAAACCAAAGCAAGGCACAGATTAAGTGAACATATATCCAGCTAAACACTGCGGTAGGGTGACAAGTATTGTACAAACTAAAAAAGATAGACAACCAGTTTATGACCTGAAAAACAAACTAGACCTACACACCTATCAATATGGCAGGCAGTCTGCACCAGGAAGGAAACAGAAGAAATTTAACACAGTCCTAGTAAAATGTATTAATTGGTGAGATGATAAATACGGGTATTCTGCAAGTGATCTACCTGATCAATTAGTTTTCCGCCCTTTTGGTCTGTAAATTTTTTTAAAAAATCGCTTCTTTATTTGTAAATCTCTAAGAAGCAACAAAGTTTCTTGGCTGACAGGGCAATGAGCATCTGACTGCGTACTCTGTTTTGTACACATATACTTCCCAGCAAACTGAGAGCACCATGTGAGTTGGAAGCGCTCTAGGAAATGTGTGAGCACGGTTTTGGAGGAGATTCTAAGGAAGATGTAATTTAGGGCTGAAAGTCACAACATTTACCATTTGACTACAAAAGATACCAAGGTATATGACATCAACCCCACAAAAAACCTCAACTCTGTCGTCAAAAGAATCAATGGCTTATTATGCCAATCTACATCCACACTGTTGTGAAAGGAGTGGAGCCATCCCTTCTGGGTCACAGCGTCTCCCTCCCACTGCTCGTGCCCATGCAGATAGGCTGTCAGCTTGATGAGACAGATGATCAGCCTGAAAGAAGCCCCACACTAATAGAAATCCCACTGCAAACTGATTAATTGCCATCTGGAGCAACTCCCTGACCCATATGGCTGAATGGCTGCACAAATGCTGGTGCTAACATAAGGGAGGCTGCAGGAATGGGCTGCCAGGAGAGGGAACCTGCCCCTGTTAGCAGCAGCACGGACACAGATTGGTTTAGACTGATTGTAAAAATGCACTTTCTGTAGGTCTTCATGGCTTGCCTACTCCAGAGAATTGACTCATCGGTAAACTGTATAATCACAGGTATGTCTAAATAAGCTGTGACGCCTTTGGAGCAAATTGACAGCCATTCTGTCCCACATGGTTTTTGTCTCTTCTATTGCCCTTACAACCCTAACCTGCCTCCAAAGAAGGAGGATTATATTCAAATGGAAAAACAATCACCACCACAAAAGATCAGTGAGATGCATAAGATGCAAGCCACTTAGAAAAAAACCCTCTTCTTTTCCCCATGGCTGCTAACCAGCAGCCATGGAAATCTCATGGGACTCACTTTATAACTACAGCAATTTTTCCCCCTAGGATCATGTACTGGTTTTGGCTGGGATAGAGTTAATTTTTTTTATAGCAGCCCACATGGTGCTGTGTTTTGGATTTGTGACCGAAACAGCATTGATAACACAGGGATGTTTTAGTTACTGCTGAGCAGGGCTCACACAGAGCCAAGGCCTTTTCTGCTTCTCACCCCGCCCCACCAGCGAGCAGGCTGGGGCTGCACGAGGAGCTGGGAGGGGACACAGCTGGGACAGCTGACCCCAACTGACCAAAGGGGTATTCCACACCATACAATGTCATGCTCAGCATATAAAGCTGGGGGAAGAAGGAGGAAGGTGGGGATGTTCGGAGTGATGGCGTTTGTCTTCCCAAGAAACTGTTGTATGTGATGGAGCCCTGCTTTCCTGGGGATGACCAAACTCCTGCCTGCCGATGAGTAGTAGTGAATGAATTCCCTAATAGCTTTGCTTGCACACACAGCATTTGCTTTATCTGTTAAACTGTCTTTATCTCAATCCATGAGCTTTCTCACTTTTGTCCTTCTGATTCTCATCCCCATCCCACTGTGGGGGAGTGAAGGAGCGGCTGGGGAGGCTGAACTGCCCACTGGGGTTACCACGACAGGTCAGTGAAAATTCTGCTGGTTCAATTTTTATTCTAACTGCTTTACGTTTTTCAGATTCTGGAAATGGATTCCAGCAGGTCTTAAAAAATATTTACTATCTTATTAAACCAAACTTATTTAAAACCAAAACGCCTTTATTGAAGTGGCTGCTTCCATTTGAAGTTTCACATTTCTTAATTATTCAAGTAATTCAAAATCTATTCCATGGATTATTTTATTATGTGAACTTTCTGCTCTCTTCCTATAAGACACCCTTACAAGTTAGAGCTTACCAGGCAGAACAGCTATATGAGATAAATCCATTAATTTGAATTAGCTGACAAAGTAATTCATAGGGAAACTGCTAGCACTGTGACCATCAACATGCATCATAACCACCTTTAAAATCACCCTTCCTTCTAAGTTTTAATCCAACTACTGTTACAAGTGAAAGTCTTTCAAATATAATGGTATTTGATAAAAAGAATGAAGCATTTTTTTCTGTGCTAGACATAGCAGAGTTTAGACAATTAAGAACATGACAGGGTTACTGGCTAGATCTGCTTTTTCACTTTGTTAACATGAAAATGGAAATATCTTTAAAAATGCATGGTTTATTTATACAAGTTTGTACTTAGAAAAAAGGAAAACAGAAGAGTAATAGAATACCTCTCCACAACTCTAAATGTTTAAAATATTTATAATATGTTTAAAATATTCCAGGCAAAGGATAGAACAAAAGCATAGCTACCCCATTGCACGCCTAGCCAGTGAACTGAACACTAGGGTATGTATTGGTCTTGCCAAGAAGACATCACTTTGCTAACTCTAAAGGTCATAGCAAATACTTGCTTTTCCAAGCATGCCCAAGTGACCAGCAGGTGTGGACTATATTTTGTAACAACTGGGCAAGCATGTTCAAAGCCAAGAAGTCCTGAAGAAGCTGTGGCAGTAGCACCTGGACAGAAGGGTAAATTCTCAGAGATGCACAGCCAAAGCACTTCAGTAAGATGAAACTGGCAGCACAAGGCAGGCACTGTTTTTTTATTTCTCAGATTTCACACTGAGAGCATTTGTTTAATGAACCATATGTGGAGGAATGAGGGGAATCAATGTCTAGGATTTCTATTTTATTCCACTCTACCCTATACTCCATTCTTGTATTTAATTCACCATTAGTATAGGTGAACTCCAGTAGTTCAATGGCAGCTAATTTTTCTAACAGTACAATAGTAAAATTACTTCTATGCCTACATTCTAGTATTTCTGCAAGATGTGCAGCTTGCCCATTTTAGGCAACTGCTTTTTTCTGGTTTTCACCTATTTCTATCCACTATGCGTAAAGGAAGTCTACAGAGCACAACCCAGATGCTGATGACTAATGTAGCCATCGAGACTTGATTAGGACTACAGGCAAGGCCTTGAATTTCTGCAAACTCTGCCCTTCCAAGCTCTAGCACAGATTAAATGGAGTTGTGCTGGCAAGTCCAGTTTCTCAGTGCTCCTCAAAAGGCCGTAACCACCTCTAGACAAAGAGTGTCATGTAACTATAGAATAACAACTAACACTAGAGCATAAATACTTGACAGCAGTATTCTGCAGTGGCACCAGCTTAAAGAACATTCTATGGAGACACACGTATTTTGCTAAAAATTGATCTAAAACGATCAAAGAAAACAGACTGAAACCAAGCTGACGGTATTTGCAATGTGCATTGTCTAATGCTGTTCCTCAGTACAGTCCAAGCTTTTGCACTAACTTAGTGCCCCAGCTAAGCTGGAATAATCTGAGGTAAACTAGGAAAGTCAACATCAGTGCAACACACTGATGCAGATATTTCCCACATATTCTGCAGTGGAAACTATGATGTTGCAGTAATAGTGTGTTCATCAGTAGAAATGAACTAGTAGTGAACAGTCTGTTATTCTTGAGAAGATAGTTATGATCCAGCCAGATGAGTAGAAGGCCTTTGTTTGTTTGTTCTTTACATACAGTTTACCATGAAATAAATTGTGACATTAACCGTAAAATCTAAATTCTCTAAACGTGTGTTTTTTCCACTAATCCCAAAAGCACTGGACAGAGGAAAACCAATACCTTGTATGAGTCACAGGCACAACTGGTCTTTCTGGTCGTCTCGGGGGCAAGGTACCAGGTCTATTCACAGAGTTCGCTTTGGGTGGCCGAGGTTTCTTCGGAGGTATAGCAGGAACTGAAGGCTTCTGCAAGTCTAACTGTTTTTGCTCTCTCTCTGATCTTTCTTTAAATCAATTATTTCCAGAAAAAAAGAACATGGATATTATTAAGTGTAATTAATTTGCACTCACAAGTCTACAATTAAACAAGAAGTCTTCAACTGTAGATACACTGTATACAAAGAAAAAGCTTATCTCCGTTCCACTTCCATCCTAAGTCATTCTTCATTTGAAATAACACGTTTACCACAAACCAGTTGTTTGCCCTGCCTGACTGTTCTGCCTGTAATTCCTCATGGCCAAAATGTGTGTTCAGTGTCTGAATGGGAATGCTATTTTTTATTTTATTAACTTACTGATTTGTGAGTGTAAAAAATAAGAATGGCAAAAAATTACATACCATATCAACAATTTCCCATAAGCACAACTTACATCACATTCTAATATGAAACAATATTAAGTTAGAAGGTTACAAAGATAGTTATGCTAGATATTCTTAACATCTCTTGAACAAACACAAAAATACCATTTCTGGGGGGAAAAAAGTGTGTTCCAAGTGAACTACAGTTAAATGAAAATAAAAGCATTAAAATTTAGCAAAGTTTGGCAGGATCTAAACACCTCAGAAAAATCAGACCTTTTATTTAGGTTTTTAAGCACAGCCTTATAGCTGAATTTTTCAGCTTGCCAGCAAAGTAGAAGATCATTTGCGGAACTGATGATGTGTAGTTAGAAAGTGCCACAATACTAACAGCCAGTGCCAAACGCACAATGCCTGTGAGTTCGTAAAGTACAATACACATGAATAACTCTTGTAAATAATATGCTCTAAATTCATAATACAAAACAAACATGTAAGCACAGTTGCCACACCATAGGAAACTCTTCTTAAAGAAAGGACAAAACTCTCAAAGGGACCAAAGTTTCGCTCTCTGTATCCTACTATGTCAACACCCCACTTCCCTTGACAACACTGTCTATGATACGTTGTGAATATTACATCTCTGTATACACGTAAGAAGTATTGGGAATGTTACAGGGTATTGCTTAATGGGCTCTAGGTTTCAGTCTGAGAGAATCACAGAATAAATCACCAGAAACGCAATATGCATTAGATTTGAAGTAGTCCAGTAAGTGACTGTTGATTCACAGGCATACACCCTTTTTCAGTACACTTTCAGTTGATGCAATCGTTGGGTCCTCTGTAACGTTGAAGCTTTTCTAGCATCTTGTGTAATTTTTACACACTTACTCCTATGGCAATTCATACTGTGTCAGTGTCCAAGAATCTAAACTATGTATGAGGGACGGGATAGGCAGCGTACCAACACACAGCATAAAGAACGTTCCTGTGCCACCCCTGCTGCCACACCACACTGAACAATTCCTGCCACTCCCTGGTACTCCAGAAACGTAGGCACGGCTCCTATGGCCTCTTTCCAACATTTAGAAAAGTTACAGATATTTATACCCTGGGACAGTAACATATTTAAACTTACTCCACCATTTTGACAGTTGGCTTTGTAAATCCAAAAATGGAAAGCAAAGGGTTTTATTGCTAAGATAACCACAAGAAGTAGCGCACATAACCAAAAGTAAACATATGTAGACGAAAGTGCTAAAACACCTGTCAGATCGCTAAGACATATATCTGGAAACAGATCTTGGTGCAAAGTCTGAATGTTCTGGCACGAAATTATAACTGCATATTATAAATTTAGTCATGTGCATATATGTGCCTTTTAAAAGACTGCAAGTATGAATACTTAAAAGTTAAGAAATCCCATAAACAAACTTATCCGTACAGTCTAATAGTCCACTTAAACATATGAAACTGGACATCATCTTCAATTAGAGAATCAGTGTAACTGTTTTCCCCAAACCATTCAGAATGCACAATGAACACAATGAAACCATTAAAGGTTTAATTTGCTTGTCACTGCTCTGTGTGACACTGTGCCCCACTTCTTGCAATGTTCAAACCTGGCTTTGAAGACAGAATTTTTTCATTTCTTCACAGGCTTGCCTATGACTTTTGTGACAATGACAATGGGGTGATTCATAAGCATTAATGACTATATCTTCACAAAACCCCTCTCTGATGCAGGAAAACCACCGACCCTGCTTTTAACTAGAGAACCAAGGCATACAGATGTTAAGAAAAAAGTACACACTAATGTGGGGTATCTTACTCGATCAAGGGCTTTACTGAGCACAGAGCTTTCAACAGCATTTTATGTACTGAGAGCATATCTCCCCTTGACTTCAGTTGAGGCTGCAAATACTTAACAGCTCTGGATTAGCATAATTGAATACCCTGAATTTAGCCCATAAGCAACAATGCGATCCTTTCCAAAATGCATATCATCACAGATCTATCAGAGTGGGAAGTAAACATCCAGACGATACACTTAATGAAAACAGGGACTGCGAAATGAGGATGTGCATCCGTTCCATTTCCCCCGTCTCTCTGCAGAGAGCAGGCAGGAAATCACATTTCATACCTTTTTCTTCTGTTCGATTAGGAAGACATTCTGGCCTTTCAGGAGGTACCTTTTTGATTTCATGCTTTCGATCTGTGGTACCTGTCAAAGAAAGGAAAATTCAAAATTCTGAGCAAACCAGCATATATGGCCACATAAGATTTAATTCTACAAGTTCTTAGGCTTTTTACATTCTCTAATTTGAAAATATCTCACTAAAACTGAACATAAATTTAGTTTCAAGTATTTGCTTACACCATAATGACAAAAAAGCAATTGGATGTTTATGTTTTCACAGTCAAATTCACAGTTTCCAAAGCATGTACCTCAAAAGAATAGGCATTTTCACACCATTCTGTGAAAAAAAAAAATTCAGTAACTACAGATTTTTACATGTGGACAGTTCCTTTACCTTTGTAGACGTACTTAACTGAAGATCAATTCAACAGTATGGAGAATCATTAGGAATAAAGCAATTAATTGGGCATTTCTGCCAAGAGAATACTTACTATAGACAAATACACTGGGCTCATTTTACACTAAGTTAACCCCCCTCTCTTTTTCATCTCTATTACTAGCTGTTCACTTCCACATATTAGAAGGATGAGAACAGTAGTACTGACAGTATTCTGCATGATTATTTTAATTGGCAGCTTTGGGCCTGGAGGTGTAAGCCTCTGCTCCTTCTGCCTCTGTACTAGAGACCCTGACATACTGACTTCTGTTGCTATAAGCAATATGAGAACTTGTGGCACCAACAATGGGAAGATTTTGCAAAAATTTCCTGGCACATGCAAGATGCAATCTTCTAGTCCCCGTATTATAAGAATTGCTTTACTGGATATTGGCTTGGCTGCATTGGCTAACTACTAGGTGCTAATGCCATTTCAACTTAGCAGTGTTGAAAACCACTTTAGGTAACGCTATTAGTATTTCAATAAAAATTACAGTATATGACATCCAAGAAAAGCAGAGGAGGCAGGGCAGGGAACACAAGGCAATTTTTTGCTTCAATCTATTCTATTATATGCAGTTCTCAAGTACATTTACATTTCCTGAATGTGCTGTCGCAACTCTCTTCTGCAGCTGGTTCCTAGAAATCAGTACTCATCAGTGCCAATTGCTCATCAGTGGTGATCATCGGCCATTGTTTCTTTATCGAACTGTGCTGTTGCACAGGCAACACTCTATCACTTATCATGTCAATAAATAATACCGAATTGCCACTTTACAGTTGGACTCCATGATCTTAAGGGTCTTTTCCAACCTAAATGATTCTACGATTGTATGAAAAATACTTCACTGTTGAGAGGAGAAACTGTTGCTAGAAAGCAATTAAAGCCTTTCTAAACACAAGTTATGCAAAGCACAAGTCAACATATTGATCATTTTGCACACACTAGTACGTTCAAGAAAGGAGACACAAGTCTATATACCTAATTACAGTAAGATTAACAGTCATCATTAAAACAGAGAGGGACGCTCTCAGGCCATGTCTAAAACAATGAGCCTACAAACACTTAGGAGCTCCCAGGCTCAGGTGTACTCCCTATGTGGGTTGTGACCCCAAAATGAATCAGTACCCAGGCAGGCACTATCCTGCTTTAGCTTCCAGGAGAAGGTCACCTGCAAGGAAGTTCTGGTGAACTCCGTACCAGCTCCCAGAGCGACTCAACAGAGTAATCCCATCCTCCAGTCTAGATGCAGTTGTACTGCTTATCCCAGCTACCCGGTGAAATGCCTACTGCTTTTCAGTGACAATGTAAGGGACTGGTGCTCCTAACTTTGGCTCTTCAGTTTTCACCTTACTTTGTAAAGTAGCCCAGCACAGACGGCCCTGGCAGTCTACTGCTGTGCAGGATTTGGAAATACAGCCAAACTTCCAGCTATACTATAATACAAACTAGACACCTCCTTTACATATGTACCGCTTGTACTGCAAAGACCAATTCTAATTCTCTGCTATGATTTTATGCTCTGTGTCAGAAGCTACCGATACTTAATTATTTAGGCTGCAACTGACAGTTCTCAATTTATTCATCACACTATGACTGGTTAAATATGCAGAAACATTACTGGAAATTGTTACCTACTATCAACAGTAAGGCCTGACATAGGGATGTGGCAAAATGCAGTGTTATCTCAGGAAAGTGATAATTTGACAAAATAGAGGATGTCAGGATGGTAATAAACACAGGCTGATTTTCACCTCTAAGTACATATCAGAAGAAACTCTTGCGCATAATCAGCCAGGACTTGTCAAAGACTGAGTATAAAAACAAAGAACAGCAATAGCCTTGCCTTCGCCATAGACTTAGATGGCCTTCATTAAATTGTCTGCAACTTTTATGCATCCATTTTTCCTTCTGAAAATGGGCACATTTTCCTGCTATGGCGACACAGCTAATGCATTGGATGCACACAGCTACAAACATATTGAAAGTATTATTCTCTAATTATAGGTTATAAACTGAAAGAAACATAACGTTTTATAAAGCTTTTCCAAAACCTGTGTCAGGCTGTAACGTCAGTTGTCGCTAAGACATCTTTAGTATGCAGCCACCACTAGATGGCAAAGTTATATTGCTCTCTCTGGACACTGCTACTCACTGATCTTAAAATCAAATCTATGTTTTTAGGAGTCTCAGGACAGAGTGAAGAACAAACCATGGCTGTCAATAAGCAAACCAAATATTTATAGTCATGATTCTGTAGTAAAAAAAAACTGCTTGAAAAATTCAAACTAGTTAAATTGTAGCCTAATAATTCACAGTAAATTGTACACTGGTGTAACCTGTCCTTCTATTAACAGGTCAAGACTTTAGGAGAGGAAAATTTATTTTTTAAAGTACTGAAAGCTGGAACAGACCACAGTGGCAAGAAAAATAATCTAGCTAGATTGTACGTGTTCATTTTGGTTTTTTAATGTGCGCCAACAGCTGGGGAAGCAGTAGTGCTGCTGCAGAATTTTAGCAAACCAACTAGAGTTAGGGGATTAAAGAATTCCAGCCATAGTTATGTTTCCAGCACAACTGCAATACAAATGAAAACTCTGAGAGCATCCCATGCCTTGTGATTTGTGATGCTACCTCAATGGAACAGGAATTTGGTTTCTGGGGTCAGAACTGTCAAGTGCGTACATACTTTTTTAACTGTTTCTAAGTTTCACAGAAAAAGTAAGTCATGCAGGCATTTTTGAAAATTTGTATTGAGAGTTCGTTTTAAAACTACAAATAAAAGTGGTTTCAGCTCTCAGTATTTATAGACAATTCAGTCTAACATATTCCAAAACCAGCTTTGCTAGCACTCATCCATTTGGAAAACATAATCAGCCCCTTAATACATTCGCAATACCATTATATACATAACCAGATTCAGGGTAACTCCTTTAAGTTTTATACTTATGGCTGTAAAGTACTGAAACCCAAGAATCTAACTATGGCATAGAATCTAGAGACAGGCAGCCAGCTCCAGCATTCATGCAGATCTGTAAGATTTAGATTGCGACTCAGATGGGGCCACTGTATTACAGCCAAGTTCTTTGACACTGTCTTATAGATATGCAAAAAACCTCTTTATCTCTAGAATAAATCAGATCTGTAGGTGTAAAGTAAATGCAGTTTCCTCCTGCAGATATTATTAGATTCCAACATATTGGGTCTACGCTGCAAAGACATGCACACAATCAACTTCAGTCAAGGAACAGAACTGGAGAACTTTTAAGAACTGCAGTATCATGCTCGTTCCAAATTAACGTGTTTAAGGGGCAAAATACATTATTTTAAAATGGTGCAGACGGTTGCCTGCAATACATTTAAAAAGCACATCATAGTCTTTCAGGGTTATCATCTTTTTGCAATTTGATTCTGACTTATTAGTTGTTGTCTAGACACCTCCTGCTTATCAGTTTTGATACAGATGAATTCTATATAAATTTGAATATACTTAATAGACTGAGATGTGCTCACTGACACGTGCTGTACAAAATCAGCTGCACCTTACCTGATCCTTGTTTGATGACAGGAGCTGATGGAGGTGGTGGTTTCTTCGGTCTCTAAAATTTAATAACAGAAGAAAACAGATTGCTTCAAAATGCCTGTAAATCTCATTCATACAAAGGGTGGAGTTAAACATACATTGCTTAACATTAATAATTACAAGACTTGAGACTACAGATCTGTCACAAATTTCCCCTGAAACAACTTCATTAAAAAGAATTTGAAGAGAGAAAATAGCATTGACAAATAAAATGTAGTTTTTCTACTTTTGCAATTGAAATGTCCTGTTGAGGGGAAAAAAAGTCCAGTTTACGTGCCTTAACATTAGAGAAATACATGACCTTTGGTTTACTGAAGAAATCCATTTATTAAAAATTTAATCTTGTAAACATTCCAACACATTTTGGAAAAAAACCCACCAAAAAACCAGCTCGATATGGCAAAACCTGAAGGGTGCTTTTTCAGACTAATAAATGGGGCAAAAACGCAGAATACAGGAGATGCTGCAAAGGTTACATTTTATTCACTCACTGTGACTCTTTTACAGCTGCAATTGTGCAAAACAAGTCGTCAGTGGTTTAGACGTTTGGCAAAATGAAATAAACTATTCCAACCAATCTGTACTTTTTACTTTTACCTTCTCCGTTATGACCATTTTCCTAATAGATCTGTAATGGTATTGCTGAGAAACATGACCAACAAATCAGCGCCAGAACTGTTTCTCTTCACCTGCACGCTAGGTGAGGAGTGCCTTTCCTTCCATGATGATGTGTGTGTATGAGCACACACCACACTGGCATTCACCATATATATCTTGGAATGAACAGAAAAACAAATGGAGCACCATGCCAGATCAAATGACATACTTTAACTCTCACTCTTAAAAAAAAAACAAAAACAAAATTGAGAATAAAGCCTAAGTAAAAATTAATAGTTGTTTTCTTCATATGTTCATCCTTTTTTCTGAGAAGGACCTTATTTCCTTTGCTACAGACTGATCACAATCACTGTCACTACATTGTTGGCTATGCAACACTGTATATCGTTTTGTGGAACTATGTATAATTATGATGGTGTTTCCAGATACGCATAGCTTTGCCAAACTTCAACCAACCATTTATGTTGACATTTTCTACCGAAGTCATGTTGATTTTCTTCCCCCTATTATTTCCTATGTATCTGTCAAATGGCTCACCTACTTGCAAGAAAGATTAATTGTTTTGCTCACTTGCAGTAATTAGTTCAGCCTCTGCCCTAGGACTCTCAAGTCTTAGTCTGAATGTTGACAGGAAGGAGGTTTTCTGTGAAGCCTGAGCCCTTGCCACTCACCCTTCCTGGGGGATCTCTCAAATCTAGCAAATGTATTCATCTCTGGAGAAAAAAATAAATGCCAGTTTGCACAGACTGAGTAAGCCTAACAGCTTAAATCTCTGAAGTTGCCATTGTGCAAGCCTCAGGTTTCTCCTACCATCTTATCCTAACCACATCACCTCCTGTCATCAACCTGAGAAAGCTGTGGCCAAGAACTCAGAAGCTGGGAATGATCTTCTCTAGTCTGGCTGCCGTGGGCCATTGTCCATGAACAGTGAGCCCCTTACACTCTCACAGACACTTCTGCGAGAATTTAGGCAACATGGCTCAAGTTTTAAATGCAGAAAAGTGCAGAAAAATGTGAAAAGGAAAGAAGACAGGGACAATGAATGTCTTGTGATAGCAATTGGGGGTTTGGTTGATAACGGCTGCAGAGGGAAATAGTTGGTGCTGAGGATTCAACAGCACAATATACACATTTGGGGTTTTACTCGGGAGTGGTGTGAGCTGAGCCTGATCCTATTGACTGTCCATACATCAGCAGTTGGAATATATGAGGTGCACTCCTTTAGCACATCTTTTGGCTTCGTTCTCATCTGAAAGGAGTCTAGTTCATGTCCCCTGAGACCTGTCTTCGAGGTAAACCAAAGCACAGCAAGTGTAGATGGATGAAGGATTCACTACAAATCCCACTCCTGATAAACTAAAACACTAATGTAGATAAACACAAAGGAGAAAGGATCCTATGGTTCATTAAACAAAGGGGCTTCAACTGGAAGCTGATGAGGGAAATACATTGCTCCAAAAATGCAGACGAAGATCAGAAAGGAGGCAGTGTGAAGGAGCCTTAAGACTGCTGAGGGAAACGTGGAGAAGCAAGGAGGAATTACAAGGCTCTGTGTGTGGATGAGATAACCGAGAAGGTGATGGAGAGAGTCTAGAAGTGAAGCCAACAGAAAGGAAACCAGGATTGGTTGGACAGGAAGAGAACAAAACTACAGAGCAGGGACAAAGAGTGAGAGAGGAAAATAAGCTGGATAAAGAAATTTGGTGTAAGGATAGAAAGTAAATCCAGATGGTGATTTAGACTCAGGTAGTGAGCTCAGGGGAAAATCCTGTAAGTGAGACCACCTGAGCGGTGGAGACTGGGACTAGGCAGTGAATAGAAAAGGCCTGGGACAAATAGCCATGTGTGGGAAAGAATCAGGATTGGAAAATTGGGGACTGAACAAGGAGACGGGAAAAGATCCCAAGCTTTTGTTCAACAAGCAGAACTACTGCAACAAATACTTTCAGACCATGGGATGGAATCCAGGGTTTCTGGATCACATCAGAAAAGACCTGACAAAACCACTGGAAAAGTATCAGTTTCCTTCCCTTTTATCACTGATTCAAGCAAAGACAGACAGTCTATAGTCCTACCAGCTACTTACTCATGTGGTCAGATCTGTGCTATTTTAAAAATTAATAACATTTTATTCTCCACATTTACAGCAAACCTAGCTGCAATTTCTAAGTGTCTGAATGTTTAATTTAATCTACAAGTTATATTCATTGTACTCTAAAGAAAAATATTAAAGATGTATAATTTATAAGTTCAAAAAGACTGAATAAGTTTCACCACAAAAAATGGATAAGAATAAAGATTTTTTTTCTTCTATAATAGGCTCACTATGTCTTAAGGTTTATGATTTCTGCCTCTTCTGGAAATCACCTTCTTTTATTACAAGGCCTAAAGCCAGGATATCCACTCTGCTATGGAATTGCATTTTCATCTCGCACACTTTTTGCTGCTCTTTCTACCTTCATTTTTAATAATTATCATGTTAGCTTTTGTGAGTTGTTTAATAGCTGCTTTATTAAGCTCTCCAATTTATTTAATTTTTGCCTCCGGCATCCGATTTTATTGCCAAAGATTGAAGCCGAGTGTCAGTGAGTCTTGGTTTTATCACAGAAGGCTTACACTGTCACCATGAAATACTCATCAAAAGCCTGACTGCAAGCTCGTAATATCCCACTGATGACTGAAAAGGTTCCTAAAAATGGAATGGGCTTTTGGCGGAAGTAATCCATTACTTCCTTCCAGGAAGCTGCAGGATTTCTAAATATTGTTTGGCAAATAATAATGCCAATAATAAATAGAAGCTGAAAAAGCTTCTGCATAGATTTTATACCTTTTTTTTTTTTTAATAATTCTGAGAGAGGTAAAGAAACATGCCTTTGAGATACCAAAAGCTCCCTGTTGTCTTTCAAATCTCACAGTTAAAATTTCACCCTTTTCATTCTGAAAGAGTGCTTCACTGCTGTCAATCAGCATGCAGGTGGTACGCTAACGTTTCATATTCCACCACAAAGACAATGGAGAAAAGTTAACAACTCTGGTCATCATTGCATCACCTGACTCAGCAAATTACCCTGGGACCTCCAGTTCCTCCCTCTCTCTCAAACTGAGGACGCAGGATGGAGGGCTTTCAGAGCAACGTAGTGGAGGTGGACTGACCGGATGGGCCAATCAAACCCTTCAAAGAAACTCCATAATATGACTTTGAGTGCCACACGTTCTCTTCATGGATGCTTTGTAATCCAGGAATTTGTTTTCTTTAACTTTTTTTATTCTTAAGTTAGAACTAAAACTTTGTCAAAATTACATATCTGAAAGAGAATTCCTTTCAACTCCACTTTCATTCTGTATTCTAAAGCAAAAATGAAAGAATACATTGCTTACCTCTTTTTCAAAATCAGAAGGAAGAAGTTTGACAAAGTTGTCTGGAAACACACCTCGTCTGCCATTGAGTTCTCCTTCCCACCAACCCACATCAATGCAATCCTACAAAATAGTAAAATAAAATGAAAAGCACAATGTGCTTGCGCGCTGAACAGATTTGTGTGCTGAAGTGCTCTTTTGCATAATGTCCTGCCTTTTTGCTAGAACATGACAATTTACTGGAGTGCTAGGTTAACAGGGTAATCTGCCAGATAAAAACTTCAGTAATCACCCCCCATTACATTATCACATGGAGCAGCTAGGAAAGAACAATAAACATGCTTTAACAGCTCAAGAGCTTGTCTGTGTCTCAAGCAAAACACTATTTCACCATTTGATCTATTAAACCAGTAAGCATTTTGAACTTGTCTGATACTACTTCTCTCTGACTTCATTTTCCAGAAAGACAATTAATTAAACATCATATATCCCAGGAGGTAAAAAGCTCCTTTATTTCCCATACTTTCAAGAAAAGCTAGACACATTAGAATTACTTCTGAGATTATTAAATTTCATCACAGTCCAATTAAGAAGGCGTTATACACCTGATCAATATCAAGCATCACTTTTTTCTGCATTTTTGAGCAGCACAATGCAGTGTGTGTAGCAAAACAATGTACAGCTAAATGCTCGCAATAAGTGAACTACTATATCAGTGAGTCTAAATGATGAAAAAAATAGTACAGCTATTTTGGTAATGAATAATAATAGTAACAGAAGCCACAACCATTTTAGAGAAGGTTAAAATTGTTCCTGGATGGTAAGCTCCAGATTTACTTATTTTCGTGTTTGCTAAAGAGAACACTTCTAGTTGAGATTTTCCACATTCTTCTTCTCGGAAAGCTGTAGCTGAACCAATTCAAGCTGTTTTTCCCACAGTTATGGGAAAGTCACCCATCATATACTCAGTCTTAAAATCCTTTCAGCCAGTTTTAGCAGTTGCTGAGACCGACCTTTCTATCCTCTTGAGCAGTGGCCCTAGATCTTCATGTGGCTCAGAGCCATGCAATAAATATTACACACCTGAGACGTGAGGGAAAGGGAAATCCCACAAACAGTGCATGGGTTGGACATGACAAAAACTCACCAGGGATTCCCCCATTCTATGACAGCCAGGGCTGAACAGCGGTTTTTTTTTGGTTTTTACAGCTTGGATGCCACATCATCTAACAACATCAGCCTTAAGCAATCACTGCGGCATCACTGCTTCCACAGCTACAGATCTGGACTGCCCAAACCATCTGTACCTGCCAGGTATATCCAGCTGTCCTGGTAGCAAAGCCACACTGGAACTCTTCAAGAGTTCAACACGATGGATGTTCCTATTCTAACACTTCTAATCCAACCCTGTGGAAACTCTCCCAGATCTAATGAAGTACTTTTGCTTTTCAGAAAATCACATTTCACCACTGTTCAGAAAAGATCAGCTGAATTTTAGCAGCTGCATTCTCTGAATACTTGGTGGTACTGATGTAGGTCTAACAGTTCTAGCGTGGGGCATGGTCACTGTTCCAGGTCATCCTGCGCTAAGGACTCTCCATCACTCACTGCTGCAGAAACTGAGTGGTCCTTTTCCTGCAAAGACTTTATCTGGGCCGTGGAAAAAAGCATGATAATACACAAAGCTGGCTCATTACAATCACCTGTCTCTTCTTGCTTTTCAGTAAAGTGAGAGAGAGTGAAAAAGCTGTGCATCTGGAACACCACAATACAGGGACAAGCAAGAACAGAGGGGTATGGCTATAAGAAAAGTAGGCAAGAGCGGGCAGGTAGTTTAGGAAAAAGGGAGGGAAACAACACGCACTAAACACAGGTTTTCACAGAGAACAAAGCTAAAAAAATTGGACAGATGCAAATGAAACAGGCCAAAAACTACAAGCTTCATATATGCTATGAGGCAACATCCCTCCAGAAACAGCACTGGATCAAGGGGTCCAGGATGTTAACACATTCTTGTGGTGTGAGAAAATAGCTTTAAAAACACCGAGTGGAAGTGCATGTCTTAACACTGTTTATCTATGCAATTTGGTTGTGGTCATACCTGTTGTGCAGTACATGTAAAAGCTCTAGGGTTAAAAATGTCACACGCTCAAATCAGCCACTGTTGTAGCCATGTGTATAGGGGAACAGAATGTTAAATATTCATTAAAAGACAGGTCTGAATTTTTTTTGAGGTGAGTATCCAAAATGAGCAAAGACTTTAAAATACAGCCACTCTGATCTTCATTTCATCCTCTGCCTAGGCAAAATCATAGCACGCCCTCACAACTTAGACAAGTTTTGAAGATAAATGCTTACAAAGCATGCACACACTATAGAAGTACCGAGGGGAAAAAGTAAGAGAAAATGAGTATTTCTTTGTCTAGAAGAAGTAATCAGTAGTTTAAATAGGGGAGAGGAACCACTAAAAAAACCTGAATGTGAATGGGCAATAAAAGATTGCATGATAATATATGCATGCAAAATGGCCCTATCATTGTTATATTTCCATGAAATCATTTGTTTCAGCTGCTACAGAGATGACAGAAGAATGCAAGTTAACTTAATGAGGTGTATTTAATACCAAGAAAAGTCTTAAAAATATTGTTCACAATGTGCTTGTTGGTATTTTTCTGTAAGTTATAATGCATAAACTTTGGATGATATTTGAGAGAAAACAGACTAGCATTAAAGAAGATCATTGCATTTATGTTTTGAGGTGTTTTTAAGTCATTTTTCTGTTCTAGGCTTTTTATTTAGCTTACTTAGTCCACCTCGCCTCCTGAGATAGAGTATGTGCTAACTAAATACTAAATAATAATACTAAATACTAATACATTAACCAGCTAAATAGCCTGGTTTCTTGCATCATGTCTGTTTTGGGTGTGGGTTTTTTTTTTTTTTTCCCCCTTCATATCTCAGTATTTTACTCTGATGTAATGTGTTCCTGATCTACAAATGCAGACACTGAACAATCATTCTTTTTCAGGTTGTTTTCTCTCATGCTCAATCTGTGTTTTTCTCCCTTTTCTTTAGCAGGGTGGCCTTCACCAAGGACACTTATCTTTTCTAGATCTTCCCGGGAGTTATCCAGGTTGTATTTTCCAGTTCTTTAGACTCTCAAGCCTTTGTTAGCGCAGAAGGCTGATCCTCGGCTAGCTGATGGTTTCCAAATATCCGCTGAGGGAATACAGGGCTCCACGAAGGATGGAGATAATCAGCTAGTCGTGCATGGCATGGGCAGGCACTGTGCAGGATTTTACTCTTACCGCAGAGCAAGCACCCTTCGTTCCTGATGTGAAGGCGCCCTCCCACTTGGCTCTATCTGCTTGCGCAGCCTAGTAATCAGTGCACTCAACTGTTCTATCACATGGTGTGTTTTATAATGCCCTCCACTCCCTACACTGCTAATCTGAAATTGCCAAAACATTTATGACCCAATTTAGATTTTGAAAAATATTAAGAATAATTCAAGCTTCCAGAGATTAAAAGCTTATGCTTCAACTGATAGCACAGCTTAGTGCTAGCTAATAATCCTGACTAAACAACACACAACATCACACATATTCTTTTTAGGTCGAATGCTTTTTTATGCTCTTAGGAAACACAAATTTTACTCCTGCTTCTTCATTTTATTAACCCTCATGAATTTTGTGTTCAATGCTTTTTTTAAAGCTCACTTGTTTTCATGAAGATGCTGTTTGTGTTACACGTTCCTTAATCCCAAACAGCTGCAGGGCTGCTTTTTTCTCCTCTCCTGCTTGTCGCTCAGGCTTATGCAGCCAATCACCACGCAGGATTTTCACACAGTAAATAAATCTTTAGGCAGTTTCTCGCTAATTTTCTCACTTGCTTTATTTGCCAGAGGAGGCTTCTGTGTCACTGAGCCAAAGGACAGAAAGAGATCCCAAAAATTTAGTGCTACAGATGAGATCTGGTGAAGAACCTCAGTGGTGGTGCCCTCCTGCTACCCACAACTGCAGGCTCGCTGTGCCTCAGCAACCTCTGGAAGCCCATGTCCGATGCTGGCAGCAGGTACATCATCGTCACAAGACAGACCACCACGCAAGGATACCTGAGTTACAGCTGTCCAAGCTGCCTCAAGTGCTAATAAATGACATAGCTATGAAGTGCAATCAAAGCAATGTGATTAAAACCTTGTGGCTGCCTGTGAACACTGAACAAAAGCTACTCTGATACCTCTAGATCCCAATCAGCCATGCGATCCTAATCAGGGTCTTTTTTTAATATATCTTCACTAGTTCAAGGTTGGCAAAATGGCTGTGATTTCAAAATGCAGATTTTATACAAAAGCTGTCAAGCTATTACAATCCAGTATCAATATTCCAAAATTTATTAACAAACCAAATGGCGCTCTGCTTTATGTCACGTTATCTTGCCAGACTCATAAAAATGTAAACAGACAAAAATCAGATGCTGAAATATCACAAAAGTTCTATGAAAAAAATGTATTCCAATTACTAAAAATGCATCTTAGTTTAGGAAAAAAAAGGAAAACAAAAGATTTACAAAGCTGAAAAGTAAGACATGGCAAAAAAAGTAGAAATTGTGTTTAACAGATACTAGAATTCATGTCATTTAGGTGGTAGCTGGGCCGACATTTAGCTACTGTAAAAATCAGCTCCTACCAAAGCTTAACTCAGAGACCATACTCAGGTACTCATTGCAGTGACAGTGCAATCAAATACCTTAGAGAAATCCACTGCTGGTTCACATTGCCAAGCCTCTTTTCATTATTCAGGCAGAGGCAGATTCATGAAATAGAGAAAACAACAATCTAGAGGGAAATTTTAGCATTTTCTCATTGCAACACACATCTTGCTTTTATCCTCATTTCCAGAATTAGTTTTGTTCCAAAATCTTGTCTCTGATGAATTGAATTCAAATTACTTTTTAGAGAACAAAGTAAAGGGAGGGAGGAGAGGCAAAATGAAAGAAGGATTGAAAAGCTCTTCTATGGCAGAATCAACATCCATTCTAATTCCAAGCTCAGCAGATCCCAAATAACTGATAATAAACTCAATGCATTGGATTTATTAGCAACATTCATTCTGTGGTAAGCA